CACACCCACACCTACACCTACGCCTACACACCCACACCTACACCTACATGCCTATTTGCTTAGTGACCTTGCTGAACAACAGAACTACTTCGATCAAATTTCTGCTCTTTGTCGTCGTTATAACGAAAAGAAAAATCGTTAAGTTTTGTCGGCCATCTTCACTCACCCTCAATTACCTCAGCGCGTTTTTAATAATCCAAAAAAATCTTATCAACCGTCACCTTTGAAATTTACTGCCGTTCGTAATTCTATTCCTCCTTCTCCTCCATTGCATTTACAAGAAACTGTAGATTTATTGGTAAAACATTTACTTGATGATCAACAAAGAAATCAACTTTCTTCTTCAATTCTCTCACCTTTTCGACAATTCACGTCACAATATTTCCAACATAGTTATAGAAAACGTCTTCAATACTATTCTACATTCACCATCTGCTCTTCGACCTCATCATAATCCACATAAGCGACAACAAACACAACCTCTTATTGATGAATTTCTCGAAGCTGGTATTATTCAGGAGTCCGATTCTTCATATGCAGTTCTTGGCTTCATTGTTCCTCGCAAGGACAATCGTCCTGGTCGACTCGTTGTCGACTATAGAGCTCTCAACAAAATTACCATTCCTGATGCTAGTCCACTTCCGCACGCTGAAGATTTACTACAAGAGCTTGGGAAGGGCTACAAGTATTTCAGTAAACTTGATCTAAAATCAGGATATCACCAATTCCATATACCTCTAGCCGATCGTCCAAAGACAGCATTCGTCGTCTCTCAAGGCCACTATGAATTTCTAGTACTCTCAATAGGACCGCAAAACGCTCCTGCCGGATTTCAAAAAACTATGTACAAGGTTATGAAATCATGTCGCAATTTTTGTCACGTCTTTCTCGATGATATCATTCTTTGTTCAAAAACATTTGATGAACATATAGATCATCTGCGGTTGGCTTTTGACACTCTTGCGCAGGAAAAACTCGTCCTCAATGCATCTAAATGTGAACTAGCTGTTGAAAAAGTTATTGTACTCGGTCATATAGTCTCTGAAACGTCTATTACGCCAACAAATGAGGCTATACAAGCGATTCTTGATCTGCAGGAACCACGTACACTTAAACAAGCAAACAAATTCCTAGGCGGTCTTGCGTACTATCGTAAATTTGTTCCCAACTTTGCCCATATCGCTGCGCCGATTCACAAAGTGACCAATTTAACTAAAGACAAACGGCATCTATTCAAATGGACCGATGAACAATCGAAAGCATTTCATACTCTTAAACGATTACTCACCACTGCTCCTCTTTTTCTTCGTTTTCCCGTCAATGGATTTCCTCTCCATCTATCTACCAATGCCAGTGGTATCGCGACGGGTGGAGTTTTGTATCAAGACATCAAGTCAAGACTTAAATACATAGAGTGACAGACAATTCCGAGCTCTGTCAGAATATATAATTACTTGCTTTAAAATGTAGTTTTATATTGGCGATATAATTCTACTGATCCAAACGCTCAGAATTTATGTGCCAATACAATAGATGCACAACACACATCTACATGCGTATCCACACCTTCCCACAACCTCATCCACATTCATATCCACACCCACATTCTTCAGAGAATAGGAAGAAATAAACGTCCGTTATGATTTTCATTTACTTTTTGAGAGTAAATAACGTGTGACAAATTGCGTCACTTGAGGATTCGGTTGTTGGTCTCTTTTTCAACAACACACTGCTCTCTTCCTTACTCTATTTGAGTACTCATCAATTTTCTAGTTGAATGTGCAATAGAATTGAATGGTGTGAGTGCGGGTGTGTGGATGCAGTGCTTCTCTTAACCTAAACCCACCCTATCCTACACCCGAAGTGATTTCGTCGAAAGCTCGTAATAAAAGATGAATTCCTTCTACATATTCTATGTGCTCTGGTCGTAGATATTTAAAAGGAAAGATCTTCTCTATCTTCTTCACATTTGTATCCGACTCACTCTTCAGATAGTCTCTTTATGAAAGATAAAAACTTTGTGCGTTGCTTTTATATCTTATCTTTTTCATGCCTTTTATCATTCTACACAAAAGGCCATATAATACATGACTCTTAATATCGTCTGTTCTATAATGGTTGGTTTTTTCATCGTTTCTACTCCATAAATAAATGATTCATCGTTCGTTTTTCACCATTTCTCTCACAACTCGAATTCACATTTATTCCGCTCATCTTCTTATGAGCTTTTTGACTTATAATCTTTTCATTTTTTCTCTTATGCAATCCATTGATCCCCATGGTTGTATTGTGATATGTACCATTGTTATACTACACAGACGAAGCTCTTGATAGGTTTTAGTCGACTTTTTAATTGAGCAATTTAATTTTTCTTTCCATTGCAGTAAAAAAATTTTGTCTACTTCAATATGGACGCTAGAAATAAATGAAAATATAAGTGACAGTTATTTGTCAGTGAGAACTCCTGCCGACAAAGAGTGAAAGTATTTTGTGCTGTCTCAGTCTTAACATATACTCTCAGTCTGTTTGTTTTTTCGAAACGATTGAATATCACTGTTCTTTGGATAAAGAAAAAACTTTTATTGAAGGAAGAGAATGCTTTAAAATTAAAGGTTTTTTTGTCTTCAAAATAGATGGGATGAAAATCAATATGTTTAGACGCACTTTCCTCTATCAATAGAAGTCCTTTTTAATATAAATATCAATACAATATTGTCATTTCATTGACACGCACTCTTTCATCCAACATGAAAAGTTTTCTTTTTTTAGTTTTCTTAGAGTGAATCAAGTCGGATATATCGTGTTCAATGAGTTGTAAAAGCCTTCAATAGGAAACAAACCATCGCAGCTCGAAATAATGGGAAGCGAAAACTCGGGATATTTTTTATCTTTCGTAGCCAAATATCCCACAGAAGGAAGTGTGATGAAAATTAGATCCTATCACAGCTATTGAAGTGCAACTTGGGATTAATCTGATTTGAGAGTTACAAATTCTACTCGGATGAGTTCTTCGAAGGTATCGGAAAGGAGAGGGCTGTCCTTTATATAAACCAATTTCATTTATTGTCTGTGTTTATTGATCGTGTAGATATTTTCACGTTTTAGATAAAATGGCTACCTATTCTCAATCGACAGGGATATTTACTACTTCTGATGGTACTTCGTATAGTGGCTATTCTGGTAATGGAGATGGTTTAAATAATCCTGATAAAGAATCTGAAGCATTTGTTGGCCCGATTCCTAAAGGTGAATATGCAGTAATCAGCACAAATACTTCCAAAGGTCCTACGACATTGGTGCTAACACCAGCTGCGTCGAATAAGATGTATGGCAGAAATGCTTTTTTGATTCATGGTGATAATAAGAAAGGGGATTACTCAGCGTCACAGGGTTGCATCATTGTCGGACCACAAGCGCGTAACAAAATAAAAGTTGGGGATAAAATTGAAGTCACCAAATGAAACAATTGGTACTGCGCAACTCAACAAAACTGATTGAACCGATAATTCTGATATATTAACCAAGACAAAATTTCATACGATTCCTAAGATTATTATAGATCTTATTATAATATTTCTTCTTCATCATGATCACTATTGAGAAATAAATTTTATCCATTGTAGACATTTTTCTAAGTCATTAAATTCTTGAAAAACAGACGCAATAATGATTTTTCTCTCGTCGGAACTTCCATATGGATGAGTGTGAAGTGTTTGCATTGGCGTGAGTATTACCTTGACCCATAACCACAGCCTCTCAAACACAGCTTACATGAGTCACACAATGAGTCATTTTTTTCGTATTCAACTTGCCGTCATAATCATAATGAGAGATAAGATCGTACCATGACCAAAAGTGTTTCTTGTTTTTACACACTTAAAATAGTGTTGTCGTAAAACGAATTGCAACGATTATTGTCATTTCGACTGATGATCTATTTTCTGCTCTTATAAATTTTTCTTTTTCTTTCAGAATGGGGTGTGGATATGTCATGAATTGCAATAAGCATACCCACACCCTATTTGAATTGAGAACTGTTGAGATTAAATATTGATTGTTTAAATTGAATTGGAATAAGATAAATTTAGAGATGTTTCTAAAATAATAGCTTAGCTAGAATTAAATAATATGAAATGAAAATATTTAAAAGAACAGAGAAGTCGAAGCGATTATTTAAATCATTTAAAATCTCTCTATCAAATCTTTGAAACAGCTATAATAATGTTTAAATGGTGCTAGATTTTAAATAGTTAGTTATACGAAGATTTGAAATAAAAGATCACTTTTGAGAAGTAATCGTGTTGGCAGCTATCATTATGTATACATCGAAGAGAATGAACACAAACACAGCCATTGTTTTCATTTTGTCACTATCTTTGTTATAAACAAAATGGCACACGTATAATTATGATCTTACCATATGCATTATTTTTTTTAATGATTACACTCATTCATGGTCTATTATACCATGAATGTAAATTTCTCAATTCTGTCCGTCAAGCACAAGCTGAAATTGCACTAGTTACTTATTATGCGATTCCAGCTCCATCTAATTTTAGTGAAACAAATTTTTTCCAACCGCAATGTTTATACTGTCTAGATAAAGATCGTCAAAGAATCCCGCTCGTTAAGGGGCCAAATCTGCCACCCCACTAAGGTCCCATTTTTATATCTTGGTTTTGTAGCTTGGACCCAATCACACATTTGGGGTGTGGGTGTGAATGTGGATGGGTGTGGACGTGGGTGTGGG